AATATATGTTATATATATCTTTCAAGACCCCTAGTGAATGTCTAAAACCACAAATAGTACCCAACTCTATATAGACTTATTTTTTCTATATATGCATATATGAAGTTTAATTTGGAAATTATGTACAATAAGAGATTAATAGCAATAATAATAAAATCGAATGAATATATAGTATTCTATAAGTTATGTAAATGTGATTTCTTTCTCTAATACCTCATTGTACTATACTCACATATTTTTAGACTGGTTTACTGCTGGTACCTGAAACTGCAAGTAGTGAGGGGACTATTATATATCTTTTATATCAATGGAGACATAATTTCATAGTATTTCTCAATGTAAATTGTAATTTCTCTTGCTTTTAATTTCCTATTATAAATAATGTTTGCATTCCAGAAGTTAAAAACTTACTTTCTTATAGAAACATCACTCTGAGAATAAAGGCCTGGATAAAGTGTTGGAGACTCAAGCCCAAGTGGATGAACTAAAAGGAATCATGGTCAGAAACATAGGTATGTTTTTTTTTTTTATTTTTTATCATCATATCTTCTTCATATTACATTGAGAGGAGAATGGAGGAGAAGGGATTGCGGCGTGACCATCCCCCCTGGGGGGTGATTTCTCACTTTCTGTCTCTCTCTGTCTGTCGGGCGAGCGCACGCGCCCTACAGTGAAAACTCTCTCAAAAAAAAAAAAAAAAAAAAAAAGAAACATAGGTTTGTTTTATGTCATAGTCTCATGCATGTGGGCCAAAATGGTAACAGATTATGTGATTGGGGTCAAGTTATTCAAGAAAGACTGAAATAGCACTTTCTTATTCTTATTGGAAGCTAATTGTCAGCTGAGTTATGGGGATTACATATCTATGATACTTTCTGCATGTATAAGTGGTTTCTTAGTACTTGAGACTAAGAAATTCTAAATTTGATAGCATGCTGAGCAAGGCTAATTTCCAATTGCTTTTGATAGTATAGCAATTTCGAATAATCTGGTTGGTTTTGGCTGGAAATACCCAGATAGCCGACATTATCAATAAATATTTAAAATGTAGCTATTTGAGTTCCTTAGAAAGTTTGTGCCTTTCAGTTTAAAGAATTGACCAAAAATAGACTATTATATTCTTCAAAAGAATAAACTATGTTATAGTCTCCATCTAGTGGCCTATGTTCATTTTCTCAAGAGCATATTTAACACATTAAAATATTCCAGAAAGTATATCAAGTTTATTATTAAATTGATTAATGCAGTGGTACTTAGATTTAGGTTGGTGCTAGTTTTGTTTTTGTTTTTTTTGTTTTGTTTGTTTTTAGATTTTTGCCATCAGGTACATGTGCTCACCAGAGAGACAGAGACAGGAAGTGAGAAATCACCCCTGAGAGAGGATGACCATGCCTCAACCCCTTCTCCATTCTCATCTTGAGATTTGGGGCATGCATGCACATGTGCCTAGCATGTTTCTCGCCCACAAAGTCAGCTATGTGCAATCCAGTGTGTTAATCAACACACCACCTGTTGTCTCCCTGGATGGTATTGTTTTGTTTTGTTTTTGTTTTTGTTTTTTTTTTTTTAGAGGTTTTTGCTTTCCATTCTCTCCTCTCGCCAGAGAGACAGAGACAGAGAGACAGAAAGCAAGAAATCACACCACAGGGGGATGGCCACGCCGCAATCCTTTCTCCTCCATTCTTCTCTCGGGATCATGTGCCCAGCGTGAGTTTAAGCCACCGGGTCCAGGACTTGAACTGCAGTCAACTACATGGGAGTCCAGCGACATAGCCATTACGCTAACTGCTGGTCCCAGTACTGGTTTTTTAAAAGCTCTGTTTCTCACAACGTGGCCTCTGGACTAGCAGCATCAGCATCACCTGGAAACCTATTATAAATGCACATTTTGGAATTCTACCTCAGATCTACTGAATCAAAAATTTGCGATGGGGACTAGCATCTGTTTTCACAAACTCTACAGAGGACTTCACTGCATACTCAAGTTTGAGAATCACTCTTTTAAATACATCTTCCCACAGTAATAAACTTTTTAAAAATTGCACACAGATGGTTACATAATTGCTTTATAAGATACTTAATAGAGACATCAGTAAGTATCATAAACATTACTTTGAATAATCTTGGATTTTTATTTGAATTACATTTACATTTATTATTAGAGTAATTACAAATCATGCTACTCCCTTTTTTTTTCTCTAGTAACAGTTTTTCATTAAAGTAATGTACATTAGTCCTCCCTTGTCTGTCTGGTGTATGTTCCAAGTCTCGTAGTGAATGCCTAAAATCAGAAGTAGCACCCAGCCCTTTATAGACTAATGAATTTTTTATTTGTTTTTTGATTTTTAAGTTTTGATATTGTTTTTGCATTTAATTAATGTGTGTCATTGCAGCATACAAAATGAATTTTCCAACATGAATACACTGTATATTAGTACAAAGTATCATACACATTATCATCAACAGATAATTTTTCATTTTTGTGTCCCTTAAATGTTTTGCTTCTTTTTCTCCTAGATTCCCTCCCTCTTACCCTCCCCTATTTCCCACCCTTCTCCCACACTGTCTCTAGTATCCACAGCTGTTCTCCATTCCTTTAGACCTTCTAGTCTTTCAGTTTCTGCCATAGAGTGCAGACATTTGGTATATATTGAGTGGGGACATACAGTGCCTGTCTTTCATATTCATCCACTTTATATCAAATGCCAGGATCTCATTTTTTTATGGCTGAGTAGTATTCCGTTGTGTATATGTGCCACACCTGTTTGTGGACATTTGGGTTGGTTCATGACTTAGCAATTGTGAATATGATAAAGTTTAATTTATATATTAGGCACAGTAAGAGATTAACATCAATAAATAGTAATGAAATAGAACAATTATACAATAGTCTGTGGTAAAAGTTATGTGAATGTGTTCTTTCATTGTAATAAACACACCTATTTTTAGACTGTATATACTTAGTCTCACCATCTGAAGATTTATTTCTATTTTCTTTCTTTTACATTTTTATCCACAAGTACTCATACACCCATAATTCTAACCATAATTTATACATATTTCTAACCATAATTTATATTAGCTTTGTAGTGGCAGTATAATAAAATAAGTGTGGAGTCTCAAGTACCTGAAATTGAATCTTGATTTCACTTACCACCTGCTGTTAACCCTAGGACAACCCTCTAATCTCTCTTAGCTTTATTTTCTAATGTGCAAAATGGAGATGACATTAGAACCTGAGGATTCCAGAATAAAAGAGGATATATATATATATATATATATATATACTTTGTATAGTTCCTGGCACATTGTAAGAGCTGAATAATTATTAGCTATTATTAGTTCACTTAATGCTCATACAGTATTTCACTGGGTTAATATATCACAGGTTATTTAACCATGATTTTGCATTTGGACACATAGGTTCTTCAGAGCAGTGTTTACCTTAGAGTTCTGTTTTGCAGTTAGATAAGGAGCTTGCTGAAGAATGTAAATCAATGCTGTGCTTCATTCGGTTATAACCTCTTACTATAAAATAATGTCAGTTGTACTGAACAGTCTGCTTCAAGACTTAGCTGAGCCAGTAGCAAACATTCCTACGTAGCACTGATTTAGAGATTTGTGTTACAATAATAGTACTGTTGTGGTTTTTTGTCTATTATGTTTTTCTTGTTAAATTGAAATTAATTCCTAGGGATGGGATTAATAACCAATATACAGAAAAAGTTTTGTGATTCTCTTGTTTGAGGAGATCTTTGAAACATTCATAGAAAGTGCATATTATGAGTAAGCTATGCCTGAATTTCAAAATATTTTTTGCACCAGATAAATTCATATTTAATTCTGTTTTTCCAAAAACTATTTTAAACTCTCTCATATGTCTCTTGGCTATTTAAAGTGATTTGTTTTGAATTATTTTAGTTTTCATTATACATCTGGATGGACACTAGAGAATCAACTGAGAAAACTGTTTCATTCTTTTGTCACCAAAGGTATTTGTCTTGCCCAGATGTGGAAGCAGCAAACTTCTCATTTATTGCAGAATTACAGTTTTTATGTTTATGAAAATCAGCTTTTTTTTAAAAAAAAATATTGTTATATAGTATGTGTACTCTCCAGAGAGAGAAAGAGAAAGTAAGAAAGCATCCCCCCCCCAGGGGGAGATGGTCACATTGTGGTCTCTTCTCTTCCATTCTCCTTTTGGGATTTTGGGCATGCACACACATGCACCTGGTGTGTTTTTCAAGCTGCTGGGTTTGGGACTTGAACCATGAAGTCAACCATGTGGGATCCAGCCACCTTAACCACCATGCCAACACCTGGCCCTGAAATCAGCCTTTTTAATCAACTCCTTTTAAATTACTTACTTAAACCTAGTGGTTGCTCCAGGGTTTATAGTATATATCTTTACTTATTATAATCTACTTATGATTTTATAAACTTAATTCCAGTGAGATATAGAAATGTTGTTCCTGTTTAATTATATTCGTTATTCTCCTTTTTTGTACTATTCTTTCTGTATGTATTACAAGTGTTTGTATATATTATAAACCCAACAGGATTTTTATATTATTTTTACTTATTATTTTTTATTGTTTTCATTTGTTTCTATGGATTTGAATTACCATCTAGTGTCATTTTCTTATTTTTCCTTCTGTGCATCTTTGTACCCATCTATCTCCTTTATGATGTTGTCAAGTTTATTGCATTTCTATCATATGACTAATAGTAAAATTACATACATTATTATATATATATATTTTTTTTTTAAGAGATTTTTGTTATAAGATGCATGTGCTCACCGGAAAGACAGAGAGACAGAGAAACTGAAAGTGAGAAATCACCCCCCAGGGGGGATGGCCACGCCGCAATCCCTTCTCCTCCATTCTCCTCTCGGGATCTTGGGCACGCACGCACACGTGCCCAGTGTCAGTGCGTGCCCAGTGTCAGTTTTAAGCCGTAGGATCTGGGACTCAAACTACATGGAAGTTCAACAATGAAACTATTACGCCATCTGCTGGTCCCTATTATAATATCTATATATGTATATATATATGTATGTATATGTACAATTTATTTATTTACATTAGTTTTGAAGGTTTTTGCCATACAGCGCATATGCTCACTGGAGAGAGAGAGAGAGACTGAGAGGCAAAGTGAGAAATCACTCTCCAGGGAAGATGGCCATTCCCTAGTTCCTTCCCTTCCAGTCTCCCCCTAAGATTTTGGGCATGCATGCACACATGCCTGGTGTAATTTTCAAGCTGCCAGGTTCGAGACCCAAACCATGGTAAGCCACATGAGAGTCCAGTGCTGTTAACAACTATGCCACCTGCTGGCCCCTACACATTTTATACAACTGCCTTTTAAATGAGTTAAGAAATGAACATGCATTTAAGTTATCTTTTATAATGATGTAATCACCTTTAACAATACTGAGTTTTTATGTGTGTGTATATATTCAAATTATCATCTGATGTCTCACTTTCTGTCTGAAGAAATCTCTAGTATG